TTCTTCACAAGATTTCCCAGTTAACTTTGACAGTTTAAATGAGGAAGTCTTCTATAGGAAATTATAATCTGTGGTAGTATTGTATGAGAAATTGCTAGGGCGCTTATTCTGTAGATAGTAGCTTTTGTTTATCCACTACACTACACACTTAATCCTACTGCATAGTTATCTTTGTATCGAATGTCAGGAAGGGAAAGTCTTTCCGCAGTTTCACTTCCTCTCTTCTTTGCTCTCCCCCTGAAATTTCAGAGCTTGAAAATGTCGCCTAATTTAAGAAACATGTACCAATTTCTTAGTGTCTAATCACATCAAGATACTTCCCAACACAAACGGGCATTTACAACAGACAAAGATTCATTCTCATTTCATGTTAATACCAATGAAGATGCTTTAGTATGGTGCATTTTTGTGGCCCTAAAGAGGGCCGTTGGGTTAGTTTAGATGTGCTCTAGCAATAAGCTACGCTTATTTGCTAGAAGTGTACTTTGTGACAGCCTTCGTGCCTTCGGACACAGCATGTTTGGCCAGTTCCCCTGGCAGAATCAGACGAACAGCAGTCTGAATCTCACGAGAAGAGATGGTTGTCCTCTTGTTGTAGTGAGCAAGACGAGAGGCCTCGGCAGCGATGCGTTCGAAGACGTCATTCACGAATGAATTCATGATCGACATCGCCCTTGAGGAAACGCCGGTATCGGGATGAACTTGCTTCAGTACACGGTAGATGTAGACCGAGTAACTCTCCCTTCTGCTCCTTCTCTTCTTATCGGTCGATCGTCCAGGTTTCTGGTTCTTCACGGACTTCTTCGCTCCCTTAGCAGACGGCTTCGGTGGCATAACAACGAACTTGCGACGGATAACGTCTATGGGTGTAGATATTTCCTTGGGCGTTCTTTTATAGAGAAGCTGCGAAGAAGCTCCGCCTGCTTACGTCATAAGAGGCGGGGCTAGCTCCGTTCCAAGCTTATATAAGCTGCAGCAGAGTGGTGCTGTTATTTGTGGTTGGTTATCGCGCACTTCGTTCATACTTGTTGAAATGTCTGGACGCGGAAAAGGCGGCAAGTCGAAAAGTGGCGGGAAGACGA